ATAAAAATTGAAAATACTATTAAACAATTTTAGAACAATTTTAAAATATTTATTTGATGAATTTTTTTTATAGGGATGTACGAAATATTTTGTGCTTCTTTTAGTTTTTACTTGATTTTTTACGAGACATATGAGTTAATCTAAATAAGAATATTTTCATTATCAATAATTGGTATTTCGCTGCTCATCATATCTAATTATTAGTTTATCATTGTACTCTTAAATCTTTCATTAGACTCAATTTAATTCATATCAATTTAGCGATCTATATACTTTCCAAATTGCATTACACTTTTTATAAATTGAATGATAAAATCATGTGAAACTTTCCATTTTGTAACGAATAAAGAATTTTTTTTAGATAGCTGCGAGACATTTATCGCGCAAATCAGGAACGAAAACCTAAAAAAAGAAGAGGCAGTTATAAACGTGACAGCTAGGTAAATTCACATGATGAATTTGCGTCTAACCGATTACTCTACCTTCAACTGATTACTTTTTCACACTGATTTTTAGTATCGATATGCCCTATATCCGTTAAGGAATTATCTAAGTGCACAATATTGGTAAATAAAGAAATATATCGATTTCCATTTTTTTTCAATGAAGTTAATGTCATTCCCATGTGCTGTTACTGTGCGAGTGAAATTAACTCTGGTAAAAGAAACTCGCTGCCGTATAATTGTTGCTTCACCTATACTGTAAATACCTATGAGCATGAATAGATTATTTTAGTTGATCTCTAATACTTTATACAAATTAAATAAAAATGATTAATTTATTTTAAGTACTCCGACTATACTGAAATTACAGTATTATAATATTTTGATAAACGACTATTAACTATAAATAAGAAATGATTAAACGAAAAGTAAATAATATATGAATGACACCAAGAAAAATCCGGACTTCGGTCATATAAATTTTATATGGCCAAGTTTGGTTTTCCCTCGGTGTCATCTATATAAAAAAAATTAAATAAGTGTTAGCTTACCTTTGAATAACCGATTGAAATAGCAATTAAATCAATACAAAAAAATTGAATGTAAACAATTAAGTGTTAACTTATCTTTGAATAATTCAATTGATCAATATAAAGAAATTGAATAAGAAATTATCTGCATTGATTAAATTTATAAGAATAATAAGATACGTAAACATATTAACTTGTCACTATACCTATTGAAATACTTATTGAAATAATTGGAGAAATAATTATGATTTACGAAATGTAATCCTTCTTTTAAAATCAGTTTCCAAACTCTAATCAGTGATAATAAATCCTGAGCAGAAATTGTCTGTATACAGAAGAAAGTATTACATATGCCCTGTGATGCTACTACATGTGAAATTCCTGATATGCATTCACATCCCTACTTTGCCACATATATTATCAAGATTTTGCGGACATACACAACTTAATTTGCGATATAACCATACACTTTGTTAAATTTTTAGTAAGACACTTCTTAGAATATTGTTGTTTACGTTCCTAGCTTTTAGTGCGACGGCATCTCGCAGCTACCTTACCTATTAATTAATTTGAAACATTTAATTTTCAACACTAGCGATCTAAAAATACATAAGGAACATTAAAAAAAAATAAACAGGAAATTTTTATAACCACTCGGCTAAACAAAGCAAGTCTAGTACACTAATGGATGTTATACTAAAGAATTGGAATTGACAAGATATCTTTGGAATTGTGACTTTTATGTGAATTTAAGGAAATTTTAAGATTTTCGTGTGATTGACGATCATCTGCCGATCACAGTAATTTGAAAAGCACGATAATTCTACAACCTACAATTTTTACACACTAGAAATAGTATAAAAACTACGTCCCAATGTATCAACTTTATTAATAATATCTAAATTTGATTTTTATAAACCTGAGCGATGATGAAAAATATTTACTTTTTATTAAAATTATTATTATTTATTTCTGCATTTATAAATTTTTCTGTAATTTATGCACGAGAACCATTAGCAGAATTATGGGGTGTAGACGATAATGAAATACCCGAGCTATTGCTTCTTAAGCAAAATTTAACGATAATTGATGTAACCATACAAGGGTTAATAGTGAATTACAAATCAAGTTTTGGAGGAAGCTACTTCGATATAAAAGAAAAGAAAGTATTTATTAATACAGTGGTCCCTGATATGGTCAGAACCATAAAAAAACAACCAGAGATACAACCATATTTAGATTTAATTTCATTTATAAATGCAAGCAATTCTATAGCTGTTTTAACTAGTATACTTGAGAACATATTTAAACTAGCAAGAAATCACGCTAAGGACACTATAGCGTCTTATATTGACGTGAAAAAAAATGGTATAGTTATAGAGTTTCTTGCTAAAACTTTGGGTCGCAATAGGGATTTTCTAAAAGCTGTGGAAAAGTATAATCCGATTATAATTCCGGTTCATAGTAATCAATTAAAAAATAACATCGATGACATACAATTTCGAAAAAGAGACAATAGAATAAAGCCACTAATTGCAGGTGGTGATCCTATAACAAATATGAAGACTCATGGTATATGTTCAGCAGGTTTTTGGGGAAGAAAAGGAATAAGTGATTATATTGTAACTGCAGGACATTGTTTTTTTAGTAATAATACTCGTGAAAATATGTTTTTTTCTATTAAAACGGGTAATTCTGGAACTATAACTATTGGAAATATGGTGCATCATACACTACAACCACATGATATTGGGTTAATCGATATAACAAATTATAGAGATTTCAAGCCATCAACGGTTATAAGGAATAAGAATTCATCCAGCTTTCCAGAATTACTTGTCAAAGGTGGTAGAGTATTATTTAGCCATGGCGTTCACGTATGCAAATCTGGTTTTAGAACAGAGATCACATGTGGATTCGCAACATCGTTTAATGGGTTTATGATTGATAGGAATGGTGGTCCTGCTATAACGAATTTATTGGTTACATGTTTTACTTCGTCCCTTGGTGATAGTGGAGGGCCTGTATTTTCTTATTTAAATGATTTAAGATCTGTGAGTATAAATGGTATAGTCATTGGAAGTGTTCTATCTTTAGTATTTCATCCGTTAGATTTAATTATCCGTGAAACTAAAATCGATCTTGTCAAGAGTGGCGATGAATAATAATTAGGTTTAATTTTTGGTTAAACATTGAATTAGCATTAGTTTTTAATTTAAATGAACTTTAACCCTACTTAAAACCCTGTCCATGTGTCGCAACTACAATTTAGTTTATTATTATTACTAGTATTAGAGCCCGTCATCATATGACGGGATAAATGGTCATATGACGAGCTAAATGGTAAATTAAACACTACAAACGAATGTTGCAAAGACCGTTATATAATGAGACAATCGGGCTATATATGTTATGCGTCATTTCTCAATTAATGCCAATTATTAATTGACGGTGTTTTCAACAGACATTTGCATAAATTTACGATTAATAAAGAAATTATTACGACGCATTTTAATTTATGTGTATATTCATGTTTCGCATCATTTTTCAATTTAGTTCAATTATTACCGTAAATCCGCGAAATAACGATCATGGGCGCTAATTCGAAAATAACATTTTGCAAAAATAGCATTCTCTGTTTCAAAATAACGCCCATGCGCGTCCCGAAATAGCGCACACTCTATATAGCATATAAGTAAATATAATTAAACATTTGGACTGCCGTCAATAGAAATCAGGCAGATTGACATGTT